TCTCACTGTGAATGAGTCTGCCAGCACCAGCCTGAGTGATCTTTATTACTCGTCACTGAGGAGAGGCCAGCTAATACTCGAGTCAGAGAGAAGCTTGTAATGTCCATGAACTGCTGAACAAACAGAATAGAAAATAACAGGACTAAATGGTGTTTGCTAGAAGAGCACTGAAGGTCCTCAAACACGCAGTGGCGTTGTGCCACGATAATAACCAAAGTAGCAGCTGAGGACAGAGGAGACTGTAAAGGCAAGCGAAGTTCATGTTGTGCTTTGTAAAGCCTTTTCGTCTCATGGGTGGATGTACATGGATCAAACACTCAATAGAAACCATCTGTTTAGCTTTGGGATCAACAGGTCTTTTGTGAACTTTCACCTCTGAATATAACCATGGCATCTCAGCTGTAACCAGGGTCCAAAATAAATATATAGTGTCTTTTTTAAAGACTGTCAAATTTTAAGTACCTTTGAAACAATATAAAACATTTTTACCAAATTTATATATATTTTTGTCCTAATAATAATGGGAATAATTACAGATTTTTTCATACAAGAGGCAACTGTCACAAAAATGTGAAGACATTTCCTATTCCTAATATATGTGACCCTGGAGCACAAAACCAGTCATAAGGTTCAATTTTTCGAATAAGCTTTCCATTGATGTATGGTTTGTTAGGATAGGACAATATTTGGCTGAGATACAACTATTTGAAAATCTAGAATCTGAGGGTGCAAAAAATCTAAATATTGAGAAAATCAATTTATAAAAGTCTTCAGCAATGCATATTACTAATCAAAAATTAAGTTTTGATATATTTACGGTAGGAAATGTACAAAATATCTTCATGGAACATGATTTTTGGCATAAAAGAAAAATGGATAATTTTGACCCATACAATGTATTGTTGGTTATTGCTACAAATATACCCCAGTGACTTATGACTGCTTTCGTGCTCCAGGATCACATATTGATTTTGGTAGTTAATGTGACGAGTCACCACATGGAGTTTTTGGAGAAAAAAAGGCATCCTAGATATATTTGTTGTGGTAAACTGATGCAAAATTTGAATTGCACTCACCACATTTCCAGACCTCTAGATCACTTGCTTTGTTCTGAATCAGGGACATATATTGGCATTAATGTGGCACTCTTTCAATGGTTTAGTTCGCTTTCACAAAGCAACAATTCGACGCGTACCAAACTCTGTTTATGCAAGTAAAACTGGTCGAAGTGCAGCTGTTTATGTCTAGGGATCCTGCTCATAGCTGATAAATGACATTTTACATGTATATATGTCTCAAGACAGCATTCTTGCGGTGCACCTGTTTCAGTGGCCCAGGTGTCCTTGTTACAGTGTAATTATACATTTAAGTACTGGGTAACTAATTAACTACATGTACTTACTAAATGGTTAGGATTAGGGGTTGGTTTAGGGTTATTTGCATGTAATTATGCATAATTTATTGTTATTATAATAGTAAGTACATGTACCTTAAAATAAAGTGTTACCAACATTACTTTTAAATTTACAACAAAATATCTGCTCCTTTTTCAAATAAGTAACGGCAGTTACATTGTTTTCCCATTTATTCACTGACAGCTCTTCTGTGCCCTTGTTGAGAGAAATTGGGACAGGTGCAGAGGCACTTCCTTCAGCACGAGGCTTATTCATTTCACTTTTGATGTGAAAGAGCCTTTACAGTTGCCAAAAACAAATAAGCAAGCACAGCCCTGCTGACAAAAAGTAACGCAAACGTAACATCATCCATTACTTTCCATGAAAGGTAACGAAGTAATGCAATTAGTTACTTTCTTTCTAGAGTAATGCAATATTGTAATGCATTACTTTTAAAAGTAACTTTCTCCAACACTGCCTTTATAAAGTTCAGAAATGCTCAAAATGAGCCAGGTGTGAAAACGGCCTTCAAATATTTGATAAACCATCCATTATGCTGCAGTCACTGAAAAAAAGGTACCAGTCCACTGGACAGTAACTTATTTCTTTTTCTTGTCAAAAGCCAGTTGTTACCTGCTGCTTTTGGCCCTTGGCGAGTGTTTGTTTTGGACCCTGTGTGTGTGGGTTTGTAACCTTTTGCAGGTGTAAAGATTGTTGTTTGAAGATTCAAATTAGATGTAAGAGTTTACAGGATGCTATACGTCTTAAAAACAAAGTAAAAAAAAAAAAAAAGGGGGTTTGTTTTAATGTGTGAATACAGAAAGGGTTTCTGTTTGGAACCATAACTTTTTAACTGTTACATCACAACAGAAATAACCCTAAAACCAATAAAGTAAACTGGCATGAGTAATACTTTTTGTATCTGGTTAGGAAAAAAAACTGTATATATATATAAAATTCTTCCAATAAATGTATTTTGATAAATCCTAACTTTATCTCTTTATTCTTCATTACATTTTCTGTGTGTATTTCATGGTGCATGAAAATAAATCATTGTAAATGCCAGCAGAACTGATGCTTAGGATACTACAGTAACTTGAATGCAGCTCTTCTATATTTAGAATTAAAATTCATTTTGTGGGGCGTAAGTTATTTTGGCATTGTAATCAAAGGCAACATTTAATTTTCTGAAAATGACCAATAACTCTGAATCTGAATTTTATTTTGCCCACCAACATGCAAGTAGCTATTTTGCTGTCATTTGAGCAAAACTGGATTGTTACACCGCTTGACAATCTTTGAGTCTTTTATTGAAAATGACAAAAAAATAAAAGGATGCTTGAATATAGAGATTTATATTTATATTTCTATGCTCGAAATCTCTTGAAAATCCTTATTTGTGACCCTGGAGCACAAAAGCAGTCTTAAGTCGCTGGGGTATATTTGTAGCAATAGCCAAAAATACATTGTATGGGTCAAAATTATCCATTTTTCTTTTATGCCAAAAATCATTAGGATATTAAGTAAAGATCATGTTCCATGAAGATATTTTGTACATTTCCTATATATATACATATATACATGTAGTTTATATATCAAAACTTAATTTTTGATTAATAATATGCATTGCTAAGAACTTCATTTGGACAACTTTAAAGGTGATTTTCTCAATATTTAGGTTTTTTTGCACCCTCAGATTCCAGATTTTCAAATAGTTGTATCTCGACCAAATATTGTCCTATCCTAACAAACCATACATCAATGGAAAGCTTATTTATTCAGCTTTCAGATTATGTATACATCTCAATTTCCAAAAATTGACCCTTATGACTGGTTTTGTGATCCAGGGTCACATTTGTCACTGACTTTATGATCTAAGGCTAATGTTGTGATGGATAGTTGAAAATTCTGTCATACATATTGAAATCTTTGCTTCAAATTACGGAAAATCAGAATTGGGAAACTGCTATGTATTAAATTAATCTGAAGCTGTGATCGTTGATGGCTGTAACCTCTCTCTTGTCCCTGTAGTGAGAGACGATAGCATGTCCTTGGACTCGGACCTGGATTCTCCAGATAACCCTGTCCTGGTCTCAGTCTGTGTTGTCCCAGACCAGCGCCCGCTCTCCGAACCCTCTCTCCAAGACCAAGCCACGCCAATTCCCGTGATCACAACCACCAGCGAGACACCGAAACCAATAGACTTCGTGGCTCTCAGCGAAGCGATTTCTCAGTTCAAGACATCCAGGATGCTTTCCAAGTTGGACGCCGGCAAAACTCTCCAGACGTCTTTTGGAGTCGATCCTCACCAGAGCTTCCTCAGCCACAGCGGTCTGTCTGATTCCTATCCTCAGTGCTCCTGGGAAAACCACAGCATGTCCAATACTCGGCCTGAGACGCCAGTCCAAGCTGAAGCAGCTGGGGCTCTGCTGAGCTCTTCTTCTCCAGTCGAAGCCAGTCGTGAACTGGTCCAGCATGGAGAAACGGCAGCTGAGAGCAGTATACTGAATATGTCCAAAGTTTGGGAGCAATCCAGCACAAGCTCCAAGGTCACAGCTAATGCTGGACAAACGTCCACTGAAAGCGGCGTTTCAGAGACGCCTGCAGTGAGCAGTGCTAGTTCCTCTGAAGCAGCGGTCACACACGGGAGCAGACCTGGCAGCTCTGGACAGGGCTTTTATCCAGTGCTGCAGGGCTTCACGGCGGGCCCTAGCTTCATCTCTCACAATGCTGCTGTTGGGCTCAGGCACCCTCTTCTGAACTGCACCGTTCCCAACAGCCTCGGGGTCGTGGGAGCTCCGGTCTTCACAGGGTTCCTGCCCAATCCGAGCATGCAGATGTCCTGGAGCGGTGGTTTAGCGCAGGGCTCGGCACCGGGCCTCTGGGGGGCGCACTACGGCGTAGATACGCAGCAGATCCACGGGTCTCCGTTCCTCCAGACCTGGCAGGGAAACGCTGCCTTCCAGGGCGACGCATATCATCCCAACAGAGGAGGATTCGGTGGCTGGTGAGCCAGCGGCGCGTGTAGATAGTTTTCAAACTCGTGTTTACAATTCAGTCTCAGCTCGACTTTTGTACATTAGAAGAGAAATCAAACATTTATAGGTTTTCACTGAGAGAATTAAAGTGATTCATTTCATATTTTTCAAGAGAGAGCATTATATTTGTATTTTGCTTTTGCATGTTGGTCGGGCTCATAATGTCGGTTCATTTTCCTCTTTTGTGAAGAAGCTCAAGGCCTTGGTTTTAATATAATTGTTTATAAAGCCGTTAATATACATTAAACAACTTTCAAACTAGTCTGTGTAAACAGTGTGTCTGTATTGCTGATTCAGAAGTAATATTGGTCATGTATATGGAGCAGAACCAGCGTGAAAAGTATGGTCAATAGTAGACGCAGCTTCAAGTTTAGTTTAAATACGTTTAATTCACATGTAGGGAAAACTGTAAAGTTCACAGTCGTCATAAAAGCCAGTCACATTCAAGATCTGCGGTTCAAAATCAACCCCAGAAACGTGCCTGATGCGTTACACATCTACAATGAGTCCTTAATAGGGTTGCAAAAAGGTGGAAAATGTAGGAAAAATTCCAGAAATTTTGGAAACTTTCCAGGATTTTTTTGGAAATTTGCCGGAAGTTTACCACCCCTTTACAAACCTAGTCCTTAATAAGAGCGTGTAACGGATTCATATGTCAGACAGCAACATCTCCACTGTTCACATCTCGCAGTATAAAGTGCTGGTCTTGTTTTCGGAAGCAGCTCTGGATCACACCGGTCTGAAAGGTGAGAAGTGGTTTCTGTGTTGTGTTTGCACTGCAGGGTTCAGACTGGTTTCTAGCTCTCGCTGTCTCTGCAGCAGACCCTGAAAAAAAAGAAATAATTTCATTTATGGACTGCAGTGTTTCCTGCTGGATTTGTTTGTTGCAGACAGGAAGCTCGTCCTTAATTGGTCGAAAGTTCACGGAATCAAGTATAACACTATTACGCACAGTTTTGTTGCAGTTAAATCAATACAAAAAAGGAATCTTGTGAATGCATCTTTAACTGCATGTTATATAGAGACTCAGTAAATGAGAAAATGTTTACTATCCATGCTGACAGACTCAAACAAGAGAAACGCTCTGAGCAGTCCCTATCTTGTTTTAAAGCGTTACCTGTCTCAGCTCGGACAGACCTTTCAGGATGGCCTGCTGCCGTTCAGTGCTTTTAGGAGGATGCTGGACCCGAGGCGGCGCCTGCCTGCTGCTGCTGCTCACAACTGCAAGAAGCATCGGAAACTTGACTTGTGCATTACATACACATGCAGTCTGAGTCTGCTTTGTAGGGCTGGCGAACAAAATTATCACAATATATATATTTTTCATATCAGTTGATAGCGATAATTATGTCAAATCTTTATTTCTTTGTAATGTAAAGCCAGATTTCTGCTCCAAAGTGAAAGTTGTAGAAACCAGACCATTAATTTTCCTTAACAAAATATCTAAATAGAAAAATTAATTTCTTAGTTTCTGCATGTTCTGATTGAGTGATATTGTTTCAAATCAAGAAACAGGTTTGGGTTGCCTGATAATATTAATATCACTTTTTTTGTCTCTTAGAAATGCACATTTGGTAGTCGCTTGAGTTAGGATGCAGAGGTACATTTTAGTTCATTATCAAAATCTGTAAAAAAATTGTAGCAACCTCAGGTTATATGGTTAAATTTATAATGAAACATTTTTTTTTTTAAGCATTGGTCTTCCATAGTAGCATACATTTGAATCATGATAAACACCGTTAAAACCACAAATATAGCATCAATACCATGGTAAAATGATAACTATGGTTTTTAGGTAGCCTGTATGAAAAACAGTAGTCTAAAAACATTCAGTAAAAATGCACACATGCTATAGCTTAAGCACAAATACATACTATAATTATATACCATTACTTCTGTAATAAAATTCAACGTGAATATCCCACATTTCTGCCACAATACCATGGTGCAGTGAGTGTTACGACAGTAAATCCATGGTAAATGATGGCGATGTGTAGCTTGAAAAGCTTTCTGACTGCCTCGTTGCACTCAGTGCTTCTCCTGTTTGGCTTTAAACTAGTTTAAATCACCGAGTCATTTGTGTTCATCGCTGCGTTCAAGCGCTTCACACTGGATCTGATCTCACAGCGCTGTCAGTTCACCCAAAAATGAAAATTCTGTCATTAATTACTCACCCTCATGTCATTCTAAACCCGTAAGACCGTCGTTCATCTTCGGAACACAAATTAAGATATTCTTGATTAAAGCCAAGAGGTTTCTGACTCTCCTTAGACAGCAAGGATCCTTCCTTACACGATCAAGGCTCAGAAACGTTGCAAGGAGATCGTTTAAATAGTCCATGTGACATCAGGGGTTCAACCGTAATTTTACGAAGCTACAAAAATACGTTTTGTGTGCAAAAAAACAAAAATAACGACTTTATTCAACAATTCTGAACATAATGCTGAACGTAAACAACACTGACTACTTGATTATGTTCTGGGGTACTCTCCAAAATGGCAGAAGATGGTAACTCAGGGAGAAGAATTGTTGAATACATTTTTATTTTTGTTTTCTTCGCGCACAAAAAGTATTCTCGTATCTTCGTAAAATTATGACTAAACCACTGATGTCACATGGACTATTTTAACGATCTCCTTGCTACGTTTCTGAGCCTTGATCGTGTAAGGAACCTTGCTGTCTATGGGAGGGTCAGAGAGCTCTCAGATTGCATCAAAAATATCTTAATTTGTGTTCCGAAGATGAACGAAGGTCTTACGGGTTTGGAACGACATGAGGGCGAGTAATTAATGACAGAATTTTCAGTTTTGGGTGAACTATCCCTTTAATAGTTATTATGAACTGCTGTATGGAAAAGAACTGCGTGAAGCTCTTTCTTCAGTGGAGCACAAAAGGAGGGAATGTCAGGTTTGCAACAAAAGTAGCAAAATCCTTGCTGCATTAGATGCAGTCACATTTACCGCTGTTCGGCAAATTTTCACACTAGAAATAGTCATTTCAATAGGAATCCATGCAAGTCACTGTAGTTTTCTGACCTGTGTGGACCCTCTGCTGGGCTTCATGTGTCGGGGGTCTGGACAGCGGAGCGAGGGGGTCCATGTGATACACCTCGTCTGTGCGCACATACGGCACATAGTCTAACGACGGCGGGCGGCCCGTGTCCTCCGTCACCTGCTGAGAGGACTTTACTGCAGGAGCGGGAGGAGACGGCACCCTGCTGGAGACACAAGACACTCTTTAAATCACTAGAAAACACATCAAGCATGCTGAAAACATACACTTTCAAAGGTAATGCTGGGAAGACTTTTACATTTTGCTTCATTTTAGAAAGAAATTCATCTTTCTGTTCACCAACTGGACTACAAAACAAAACAGTACACTTATTACTGTTTGTGTTTAAAATAAAGTCTCTGCTGTGAAGGCAAAGCCTGATGTCTAGCAGCTATTACTCTAAAACCCTGTGTTATATAATTTTTAAGAAATCCTAATGCTGAACTGAAACTCAAGAAACCTTTCTTTTAATTAGCACAGTTGGAAAAGATTGCGCTACATAATGAGGTGAAACAGTGTCTTTTTCCAATTTTTGCATTTCTTGCAAGTCACACAAACATATATGTATATGTATATATATATATATATATATATATATATATATACAGTGGGTACGGAAAATATACAGTTCCAGTAAATTTCGGAAATATTCCAGAAATTTTGGAAACTTTCCAGGATTTTTTGGAATATTCCAGGGATTTTTGGAAAGTTTCCGGAAATTTACCGGAAATTTTCCACCTCTTTGCAACCCTACTCCAAACATACTTTCTTCTGTGAAAACAAAAAATGAACTTTTGACAAATATCCTGATTACTCTTTTCAAAACAATGCTGTAAAAAAAGCAATGAAATCTTGCTAGTTTACAAGAGAATTTAATGTAACATTTAAAAAAAAAAAAAAAACTATTTGTTAACAAACATCTTTCAAGAGAAACGTTTGATCCAATTCACAATACTAGGCTGAAAGATTTGTTTTTCGAATCAACTGATTCACTTTTAGAGTTAGACTCACTGAAGGTTGAATATTATCAGTGAAAAACAACTTGATATCAAAGCTATCAGAAGAGTTTAAATATATCATCCACTCATATGGACCACTTTTATACATTTTTGTGATGCTCATGCATGTTTTTTGAAACTTCACTGCTGTAGTCTTTGTTCATTTTATTAAGACTGGTCTGGAGAAATTCACCTTTACTTAAAGCTTTTATGTATAATGCATTATAAAGAGTTTTTAAAGGGTATAATGCATTATAATTATTCATAATGTGCATTGTAATACATTATATCTTGTCGTAAATAATTAAAATGCATAGTGTAACAATAAATTGATAAGTGTTATAATGTATTTACTGTGGTTACAATTTTTCATGAGATTGTACAATGCATTATAAGGTGCATTACAAGGCATAATTAATGCATTAAAACTACTTTTATAATGCATTATACATGAAGACTTTAAGTAAAGTGTTATTGGTTTGGAACATGATGGTGAGTAAATGACGACAGAATTTTTATTTTTGGGTGAACTAATCTTTGAATGAAATATAACTTGTTCTATGTTTCTGAAATATGGTTTCTGAGAAAATATTGGGTTGTCAAAAGGTTCTCCCTGAACACCTCCTTCCTAAAATAGAACTGAAATGAAAGGTTTGGCCAGTGTGGTTTCTATAAAATACCAGAATGCATCAACCACATTGAAAACTGACCAACAGTGGCTTCAGAAGTGATTTGAGGGCAAATGGAGCTTCACAGCAAGATGTATTTAATGCAGAGCTTCGTAAGCAGACAGCAGGTGAGCAGGATGTACACTAGTCCAGTCTAATGTTCATCAGGACTGCAGCGGTATTTGTTTATGGTGTTTGTGGTATTGTGCTGAAGAGAAGTTCCACACCCATGTTGTGCGTTGTCATTAAGTTTTATCTGATTGCCATGGTGGACGTGAGATGTGTCATCTTCAGGAGATGTGTGTTTTGAAGACCTCTGTCTAGTAGTGTTGAAGGAAAACCCTCATTATATATTGCATTTATTTGATAAAAAACAGTGAAAATAGTAATATATTGTGAAATATTACAATTAATATAACAAAGTAAATATTTATATTTTGAATTGTAATTTAAACCTGTGATGGCAAAGCAGAATTTTAAGCAGCATTATCCATCAGAAATCATTATAATACACCAATTTTGTGATCAAGAAACATTTATTATTATCAATGTTGAAAGCAGTTGTGCTGCTTAATATTTATGTGGAAACTGTGATAAATTTTTTTTTTTCCAAAATTCTTTGAATAGAAAGTTTAGCTTTATTTTAAATATAAAAATCTTTTGTAACATTATACTGTCTTGTATGTCTTTACTGATCATTTTAATGCTGAATAAAAGCATTAATTTCTTTAAAACAATGAACTAATGTGTATATAATTTGTAGATATTTGAGGTAGCTGTTGTCTGAACCAGTTTATTAAATTGTTTATTAGCTCTGACAAGCTTTTTTCCATTTTGACTTAGTGCTGGGCGATATGACCAAAAATTTATACAACGGTATTTTTCAAAATTATGCCGGTTTCATGGTACATGACGGTATTTTTTTTTCATGCATGACCGGGTGTTAGGGCTGGGCGATATGGCCAAAAAAATTATCACAATATTTTTTCCCATATCAGTCGATATCGATAATTATCACAATAAATGTCAAATCTTTATTTCTTTCAAGTTTAAAGCCAGATTTTTGCTCCAAAGTGAAAGTTGTAGAAACCAGACCATTAATTTTCCTTAACAAAATATCTAAATAGAAAAATTAATTTCTTAGTTTCTGCATGTTCTGATTGAGTGATATTGTTTCAAATCAAGAAACAGGTTTGGGTTGCCTGATAATATTAATATCACTTTTTTTGTCTCTTAGAAATGCACATTTGGTAGTCGCTTGAGTTAGGATGCAGAGGTACATTTTAGTTCATTATCAAAATCTGTAAAAAAATTGTAGCAACCTCAGGTTATATGGTTAAATTTATAATGAAACATTTTTTTTTTTAAGCATTGGTCTTCCATAGTAGCATACATTTGAATCATGATAAACACCGTTAAAACCACAAATATAGCATCAATACCATGGTAAAATGATAACTATGGTTTTTAGGTAGCCTGTATGAAAAACAGTAGTCTAAAAACATTCAGTAAAAATGCACACATGCTATAGCTTAAGCACAAATACATACTATAATTATATACCATTACTTCTGTAATAAAATTCAACGTGAATATCCCACATTTCTGCCACAATACCATGGTGCAGTGAGTGTTACGACAGTAAATCCATGGTAAATGATGGCGATGTGTAGCTTGAAAAGCTTTCTGACTGCCTCGTTGCACTCAGTGCTTCTCCTGTTTGGCTTTAAACTAGTTTAAATCACCGAGTCATTTGTGTTCATCGCTGCGTTCAAGCGCTTCACACTGGATCTGATCTCACAGCGCTGTCAGTTCACCCAAAAATGAAAATTCTGTCATTAATTACTCACCCTCATGTCATTCTAAACCCGTAAGACCGTCGTTCATCTTCGGAACACAAATTAAGATATTCTTGATTAAAGCCAAGAGGTTTCTGACTCTCCTTAGACAGCAAGGATCCTTCCTTACACGATCAAGGCTCAGAAACGTTGCAAGGAGATCGTTTAAATAGTCCATGTGACATCAGGGGTTCAACCGTAATTTTACGAAGCTACAAAAATACGTTTTGTGTGCAAAAAAACAAAAATAACGACTTTATTCAACAATTCTGAACATAATGCTGAACGTAAACAACACTGACTACTTGATTATGTTCTGGGGTACTCTCCAAAATGGCAGAAGATGGTAACTCAGGGAGAAGAATTGTTGAATACATTTTTATTTTTGTTTTCTTCGCGCACAAAAAGTATTCTCGTATCTTCGTAAAATTATGACTAAACCACTGATGTCACATGGACTATTTTAACGATCTCCTTGCTACGTTTCTGAGCCTTGATCGTGTAAGGAACCTTGCTGTCTATGGGAGGGTCAGAGAGCTCTCAGATTGCATCAAAAATATCTTAATTTGTGTTCCGAAGATGAACGAAGGTCTTACGGGTTTGGAACGACATGAGGGCGAGTAATTAATGACAGAATTTTCAGTTTTGGGTGAACTATCCCTTTAATAGTTATTATGAACTGCTGTATGGAAAAGAACTGCGTGAAGCTCTTTCTTCAGTGGAGCACAAAAGGAGGGAATGTCAGGTTTGCAACAAAAGTAGCAAAATCCTTGCTGCATTAGATGCAGTCACATTTACCGCTGTTCGGCAAATTTTCACACTAGAAATAGTCATTTCAATAGGAATCCATGCAAGTCACTGTAGTTTTCTGACCTGTGTGGACCCTCTGCTGGGCTTCATGTGTCGGGGGTCTGGACAGCGGAGCGAGGGGGTCCATGTGATACACCTCGTCTGTGCGCACATACGGCACATAGTCTAACGACGGTGGGCGGCCCGTGTCCTCCGTCACCTGCTGAGAGGACTTTACTGCAGGAGCGGGAGGAGACGGCACCCTGCTGGAGACACAAGACACTCTTTAAATCACTAGAAAACACATCAAGCATGCTGAAAACATACACTTTCAAAGGTAATGCTGGGAAGACTTTTACATTTTGCTTCATTTTAGAAAGAAATTCATCTTTCTGTTCACCAACTGGACTACAAAACAAAACAGTACACTTATTACTGTTTGTGTTTAAAATAAAGTCTCTGCTGTGAAGGCAAAGCCTGATGTCTAGCAGCTATTACTCTAAAACCCTGTGTTATATAATTTTTAAGAAATCCTAATGCTGAACTGAAACTCAAGAAACCTTTCTTTTAATTAGCACAGTTGGAAAAGATTGCGCTACATAATGAGGTGAAACAGTGTCTTTTTCCAATTTTTGCATTTCTTGCAAGTCACACAAACATATATGTATATGTATATATATATATATATATATATATATATATATACAGTGGGTACGGAAAATATACAG